TTATAAAGAGAAAGCCAGTGCAAAGAATAAACCCAGGTTGACCCAACATTGCAAAGGCCTGGCTAGCAACAACAAAAGAGTGACCACAGCTTATGGATCATTTATGAGGGAATGAGTAGCCTACTTTGAACAGTGAGATTGCTGCAGTGAAGCACAGGGCTTGCAACTGGGAATTGAAAGGCCAGAGGGGAGGAGAGCCCTTTTTTGTGCCCTTTTTGGATGGCTCAGTTCAAATTCAGCTCTGGATTAAAATTGCTCAATTGTGCACTTTCACCAAGAGATGGCGCCCTCAATTCATCAATGGAAAGCTTTACCAGTTTCATAGGACATTTTCAGTTCAACACGCTCCTGCCATATAGGCTACAAGAATATTTTTAAACATAATGAATTCAGTTGATGAGGTCTTACTGTATATCAATTTGTTAGATACATATCAAATTTACATGATTCAAGTCACCAGCTTGTTTGTAGACCTGAAATGGTGCCACAAAACTTGTAAAATTGTATGGACAAAAACAGATTCTTCAAAATATCTTCCTTTGTGAAAAATAAATAAATAAATCATACAAGTTTAAAACGGCAAAAACGGTATTTGGTCACAATTTTCATTTTGGGATGAACTAGGCCTATCCCTTTAACTCTTTCCCTGCCTGCGTTTTTTTTTTAACAGGCAGCTCAAGCGTTTTGATCATTTTCACAAAAATGTAATGGCCCCAATAATATTTTGTTGTATGAATACCTGAATATGCAACAGGCCTGTAGCAAAAGAAAGAACAGTCTCTGCTTAAAAAAATAATAATAATCTAGCTTCATGCATTCTTTTTTTATTTGAATGTGTGCAATTTAAAAAAGCAACATTTTGAACAAAAAGCTGAGAAAATCATGTCCGCATCAAAAATCCCCCCCTAAATCCCTCAATCACTATTCCGGGAATAGTAGCTATTCCCTATAGTCCACTAATACAGTTCCCTAGCCTAATAGTCTCGCGTAGCCAGACCTTCAGACTGACGGCTGAAGGTCTGGAACTCATAGCAGCTTTCTTTGGCCAAGGCCCGCCCATAAGGCCGTTTGACCGACATGTCAAACAACCAATTACAGTTCGTTTCGTTCAGCGTCACGTGGAAATGTCCCCACAACAACAGACCGGCGTGCAACAAGTCAGTCAGCATAGAAAATCAAAGGAGGAGAAGAAAACCGAACACAATACTGAATCGGCCAGCTGCGATGTCAGCGTCTGTTGTTTCATGTTTGCCCGCAAACGCGGCTGATATCCCCTTCACAGTTAGGTATTTCACTTGATCTTCCATAATAAATAGATAGGAGGGGACACACAACTAGTAAAGTTGGATCTGCTGGGAATCCTTATAAATGCTGACAAAGGGTCGGCCAGGCTTGGAAAATACTACTCTTCCCAAATCCCGTCGGCAAACAGGCTAAAATATCTCTTTTTGTCTCCACTAAGTGCCTCAAACAAAACTCCTGGACATCTCTTAAAGAGTCTACGCCGTGAACCTCGCATACTTTTGAGAATCCTACGTTTAGCTGATCTTGATAAATGCTCATTGTCACTCATGTAAACACAACAGTTTTTCTTCCGCAATCACACGTCTGCGCTTTGTTTCCCGGCGGACCGAAAATAAACGCGACACTCGCACCCCCCGGAAATCCGATAAAATTCAACCAATCAGATGACGACTTCGACATTCCTGAAGGGTTTCCAGTTAAGTGTACCATATGCATCAGACGTTTAGCCAACGTTCCGTGGGCGTGACGTCTGAGGCTGAGACTACTAGCCTAACAGTTCCCTTAAAGGTGCTCTACGTAACTTTTAGCGGCCTCTAGTGGTGATGTTTCAGATTGCAACCAAATTTTACAAGAGCGCTCGTGCTCGAACTCATAGACAATACCGTCTATTACGCAAATATCTCGGCGAATAGCCTACTTGACGGATTCGGCGAGCATTCAGCTCGACCATCTAGTCGAGCTGAAAAGAACCATATAAGTTCCATAGTTTTTGGTGGTGTTTTCGCGGAGATATTAGCAGAAAACCATCGGGCGCGCTGCAAAATTGCGGACGCCGGTGACGTCACGATCTCAGAAGAAAATCGCCTGTATCTCTGGAACGCAAAGACCCAGAGAGCTCAAATTCGGGGGAGAAGGTCCCAGGGGAACCCTTGCCCGAACGCTAGAGTGGCGGGCCTCGAGGATGCCCCCTACCGGATCGCCGTTCGCTGGGACCCCCGATTTCGAACGGCTATAACTCGGGGAGCCGGGCGAGTTTAAATAAATGCTGTTTATAATAATATGATTTGGTATAGTAAATTACATATTACAAATCAAATGTAAATTCTTTCTTTCTTTCTTTCTTTCTTTCTTTCTTTCTTTCTTTCTTTCTTTCTTTCTTTCTTTCTCAGTTCAGTGATCAAAATGCCTTTGACATCTCACTTCTATAAATTAAATGCAGGCACAATACATTTTTGTAACACTTATTATTATATACTATGATTATATGTAATTCACACACACACACACACGTACGAACACAGTCAAACCAAAAATTATTCAGACGCCAGATATATTTTTTTTATTTTTTTTACTAGTGGGTACAGGACAATAGTTAATTTATGTAAGTGGGGATAGACAAAAATAAACTAAACTGTAACATATTAGGCCTATATACCAAAACATTCTTCATACAGTGGACTACCAGTAAAATATTCAAAAACCAAAAATTATTCAGACACTTTGACCTGGGGCCTATACCATGAAGCCGGTTTAGGTGGCTAGCCAGCTATGTTTCAGCTTAGTTTCGGCCAACCCTGGATTTTAGGTACTATGAAAGTAGCTCGGCTTTAATCGGTGTTCGTTGCCATGGTACCTTACGCTGCACGGCTAACCTGCTCCGGGGCAGGTTAAGTTCTGGATTCGAGATCTCAGACTGAAGTTTGACCAATCAGCTGTAAGCAAAGAAACATAGGTGACGTAACTAATTCCCAGTGTTTGTTGCAATGGCTTTACATTTTCTTTCAAATCCTGTGGACATCTCAGCGCAAATTGTTAGACGAGCACATCGTAGAGAAAGAGTTTTTAGCCGGACAAAATCCCCTTGCCTTTCCTGATAGTGTATAAAGATACAGAATTCTGCGGAAGGAATATCTTATCTTTGCGAACTTCTTAAACCGCACATAAATAATTTAACACATCGAATTCATGCACTTACTGTACCCTAAATGGTATTGCGTTGCGTTTTTTGCAAGTGGTAGCCTACATACTTGCACGATCGGTGATGCACAGAATCTAGGGGAAAACACGGTTTGTCGAACTATTCGCAAGGTGGTCCTCGCTCTGCAGGAGTACATTAATAGTTTATTAGTGTTCCCCAGACATTTATTGACCATGTCCATAAGAGAGGGTTTTTATAAAATTGCCGGTAAAATATATTGATAGGGTGACATCACGTTTTTTTTTCTTTCAAAAAGCAAATTTCACAAATGTACTATATAATACAGTACATGTTGCCTTAATAAAAAGCCCAGTGCATTCACCTCAGCAACTGTCCCAGAACACAGACAGAGTGTCTTCATCATTTCCTCCTCCCTGATAAATAAAAGTAGGCCAATATGTTTCTGGTGTTCTGTCTGCTGCATACTGACCTCTGTGTGGGAGACTGTGTGTGTGTGTGCTGGCTTCAACAGGGACACTGCATTTCCCTCGACTGCAGAACATACAGTCAGACATATTTAAAACTTAAAATAGTAATGTATCGCACACGTATTTAACACATCGACTTGCTTCGAGGAGCCGGCACCAGGGTCAGATTGTACAGCACCTGTAATCCCATCCATAATCGGCCGTCCCTTATTCCTATCAGAGCCAACTCAGTGTATTCTGGAGGAGTGGCCCTCCACTGGTTTTCTGAATTTCACTCTTTTTTCGGTTTGCCTCAAACAAGTGTTAATAAAAAAATAATAAAAGGCTGTGTGTAAATACTTACTAGGCTCAATTATATTTTTATATTTTGTCTTTATCAGCTGCCAAGAACGTTTGGAGTTGCATCTAAAAATCAATGAATATTAATCTTTATTAGTATATACATGCACATTTTTTTATATATTATATAAATATAGGCTATATTTCACACACACATACATTCATAGCTATATATAGGCCTACATCATTTTACATGAATAAAGAACGTATTTATTTAGCTTACACATTAACACAATCAGCAATCTTTCTCCAACAGTCTTCTCTTGCTTTGGCAGCAGAGACCGTATTGTTTCGAGCTTGTAATACATATTTAAATTCATCGTAATTCTGAATGATTATCTCTTGCTCCTCCGCGGAAAGAAAATATCGCTCTCGCTCTATCCATATCAAACGCGATTGGTTGTTCGGTGCCAACGTCACTTTGGTATGTGCACGCGCTCGTGGAGTAATCATAGCTTAAGATCAAAGCCCATAGTCAAAGCCTGAGTTGACAGAGAAAGTTGATGAGCTGCGTCATGGTACCAATAAAGCCTGATTGCATCGGTTTGGTTTTGTCAACTCAAAACTAATCCTGTAACTCCGAGTTTGTTCAGCTACCTTCATGGTACAGGCCCCTGACCATGTTTGCTTGAGTGTTTTTTCTTTGATTGTTAATGCGACATTTTTACACCCTAGATTGAACAAAATTAAGCATTGCTTGGTAATTGGTTGACCTACATTCATTGGTATTATCTAAGTTAATTGTGTACTTAAATTTAACAGCTGCCAGCTATTCAACCTAATTCATTTGTGAGACAGTCTAACAGAAGGATGGACAAAACCAGTGAAATATCAACTGATTTGATAACTAATAATAATTTATACCATTTTCTATACTATAGCGAATAAACTGTGATAATGTGAGAAATGTTATCTAGGTGTCTGAATAAATTTTGAATAAATATATATAAAAACCCTACAAACTCTATCTGAAACGGGCTATAATGTAGAGGACAATGCACAATTGAAAAGAAAACAGGGGAGCATCCGAACTACGACACGGACCCATGACTTTTATTTTGACATCTCAACAGTGAGTACTGCTCAAGCCAATGAGCGCATGTAATCATCCAGAGATATTTACTCAGCACTTGTAAGTAGATCAATAACAAAGCCCGTCTCCCATATTAGACATTTTCTGTAACCAGTTTTGCAGAAACGCATTGTTTTGTATTTATTTTATGGTTGTATGAGCGTTGTGCAGTGAGATGGAGGCGTTGTTGAAGAGAGAGTTGGCCACATCTGTTTTGAAGAGCACTGGTCATTCAGGAGGAGGATGCATCAGTGAAGGCCAGAGCTTTGACACTGACACTGGCAGAGTGTTCGTCAAGATCAACCACAAGGCGGAGGTGCGCGCGCACACATGCACTTGAGCTCGACGCTTTGGATTTGCATCGCTAGTATCTTGCAATGCTACTTTATGTGTGTCTTTCTTTGTCATCAAACTTGGAATAATAATGTGATTTGGTATAGTAAAGTACATTACGTATCGAACGTAAATGCTTTTACAGACAACTTAAGTCTAGTTTTAACTGTTTTAACTGAAAGTAACTTCTGGCATATCTAAAAAAAAAAATAGTCTCATGATACCAAAATAAATATGAAAATGTAGGATACAAAACTGTTTTTGAGTAAATATTTTCAACATTTTCTAATTGTCTTTAGTATTTTAATTGGTAACACTTTATTTTACAGTGTCCATAAGTATGTTACATGGACATGGCAGTAAATTGTGCATAATTACATTCAACTAACCCTCTGAGGCCCTCAACCAAACCCTAACCCCATGTTGTTAATTAATATTACTCGGTACTTAAATATATAATTGCACTGTAACAATGACACCTTAAAATAAAGTGTAATCTTTTTATTTTCACAAATTGTGAATGTACTGCTTCCATTCATTACAACTTTGTCTGACAGTCTTTATTTGGAAGTACATAAACGAATGATCTTTATGCATTGTAATTATACATTATACGTACTAATATGTAGCTTATAGATACATTTATTCTTTTTTACCTTTATGATGTTATTTCTGTTTTATATTTGAAAGTACATTATCAGCTAATGATCTGTTGCACATTATGCAATGTCATTTTATATACAATATTTATAACGGTAACACTTTACAACCAGGTTTAATTAGTTAACATTAGTTAACTACATTCGTTAACATGAATTACCAATGAACAACACTTTTTTACATCTTAGTCAATGGTATTTTCAGCATTTACTAATACATTTTTAAGAACAAAATTATCTGTCAACATTAGTTAATGGACTGTCACTAACATGAACAATGAAAATATATTAACTAACATTAACAAAGGTTAATAAATGCAGTAATAATGTATTGTCCATAGTTAGTGAACTTATGAAACCTTGTAAAGTTTTAGCTTTATAACTATTTGAAAGTAGTAGTACACAAATTAATGATTTGTTTAGCATTATATTATCATGTAATAGTATATGATTGCATTTTAAAGTATCAATATATAATGTAAACTGTCTATCAGTGACTATTTGAAAGTAAATCATCAACTAATCATTGAACTATTTCTAATCTCTCTCTCTCTTTCTTTAGGCTAGACGGATGTTTGATGGAGAGATGGCGAGCTTGGAAGCGATCCTGTCCACGAACGCAGTGAAAGTGCCCAGGCCTGTGAAGGTCTTGGACCTCGAGAGAAGTGGAGCTCTCCTCGTAATGGAACATGTGGATATGAGGAGCTTAAATAAGTAATCATGTGAACCCATAGAGCTTGTTTAGGATCATGTAATAGGACTGAGAATTGGGTCAATGTCACATTAACATTGTGGGCATTGTTGGATAATGCTCCTTTTAAAATATGTAATGTTTATGTGCTGTAGATACTCATCAAAACTGGGGGAACGACTAGCTGACCTGCATCTTTACAACAAGAGACAGATAGAGAAACAAAACAAGGAGCAGCAGACTGTTGGTAATGTTTTTTTGTTTTGTTTTTTAATATTGCATCTATGGAGATTTTTTAGTGCCATTATTATTTATCATATAGTTTCTGTATTTAAAAAGGGAAAGGACCAGGACAGTCTGAGGTTGAAACAGCCAACAGGTTTGGGTTTCACGTGAACACATGCTGTGGTTATATCCCTCAGGTCAGCATCTCTGCTCTGTATGCTGTCTGATCATAATAACAAATGGAGGGATTTATATTCAAACGTACTTTGCAATCTCTCCTTTCGGTTTTCAGGTAAATGACTGGCAGGATGATTGGGTGTCCTTTTACTCCCAGCAGAGGTTGCAGCACCAGCTCGACTTGGTGGAGCAGTCGTACGGAGACAGAGAGGCCAGGGAATTGTGGTCCAAACTCCAAGTAAACCAAACAGCTCAGATTTTTATTCCAGCAAAATATCATGCAAACACAAAAGATATTGGGTCTCATTTACTAATAATTGCGTACACTATTCGTATATACACATTTGAACTTCTCGCAAAAACTTTTACGCACATTAATTAGATAACCTCGTTCTAATGTTGATGGATTCGGAGTATTCTAAATGAGCGACCGCATGCCCGAGGTAAATAATTGACATAAAACAATCCCAAACCATGTCCATATAAGGGCATTTCACACACCCTTTTCCCTCACACCAACATGACACTCTCTACAGACACGTTCTCGCCAAAGAGTACGTGCAGCAAGATCTCAGAGCAATGCCAAGAGTGGCATCCTCAAAACAAGTTCAAATGCATTAAACACCTTTTATATAGACATTACAGACCTCTGTTTTGCCAGCTGTACGTACGTGTATCTGCGCCTTTATGCGGAGCTACCTCGCAGCATGAGCTATAACGCACCTTTTCTTAATCTCTTACTGATAGGCCTATATGATATCTATCTTTTTCTATATATCTATATCTATGTTGAAGATTTAATCTTAACATGTTTATAAGGCCACCAAGACTATGTAGTCTTTGTGTTCAAGTGGTTTCAGTTCTTTTTTCGTAATTTAGAATACATTTTAGAATGTAAGTTGATGAATCATGATTTGTTCATTAAAATGTTCGTACGCAGATTTCACGCAATAAATTGTGAATGAGACCCATTGTCTCCAGTTTTTTTAAACGGAATAAACATGGGTAAAACTATTTTTAATTTAAACATTAAAATATACATTAATGTAATATAATAGACTAAACATTATATTAATGATGTAAAAAGCAAAATATGAACTATTTTGGTCCTATGCTGAATAACTCATTAGTGCATGTTATTCCAAAAAATAAGCAACCAAAACAAAAATCTTTGTCTTCATAATCTTTCCTTGAGATGTTATAACTTTCTGTGCCTCTTAAACGACTTTCCAACCCTTCCACTCCTATAATCTGACTACATTCTGGTATAAAATGACCACTTTTCAAATCAAATCAATTACTGATTGATTCCAAAATCATCATTATCATTTTAAATTGTATATCGTTCTTTTTATTTTTAATATATGATGTCATTTAATGGTACAGTTGTAAAATGAAGTGTAAACGTACACAACTTAAATTAGTCATTTGATATGTATCCATAATTTTTCTCCAACATTTGCTCAAATATATTTAAAAACGGAAAGTCCACATTATCCATTGACAGGGACAAACAAAATAATGTTTGTTAATGTAACTTTATTTTAAGGTGACGTAGTTACACGTCACTGCGTGTACTTGCTATAGTAATAACAGTAAATTATGCATAATTACTAAACCAAACCCTAACCTGTAGTTATTTAACATTCCCCAGTACTAATTTGAGCAAGTATCATGTAACTACGGCACCTTAAAATAAAGTGTAAAAATAAAAATAAAAATTCACTTAAATTTTCATTTACTCCCCGTCACGTTGATCCAAACATGTAGGACTTTCTTTCTTCTGTGAAACACAAAAGAAAATATTTGAAAGAACATTGGTAACCATAGAGTTTCAGTTTCCATTGACTTTAATTGTATGGACAAAAAGACAATGGAAGTCAATGGATGCCAAAACTGTTTGCTTATCAACATTCTTCAAATTGTCGTCTTTGATGTTCTATAGTAGGAAGAATTGCACACATGTTTGGATCAGCATGAGGGTGCGTAAATAATGACAGGATTTTCATTTGTGGGTGAACTATCCCTCTAATTTATAATGTTGCAGTCAGTAAATCTTCACACAGTGCTGCATATATATGTCCTTTTCTTTGTTTAGCTGAAGATCCCTCAGCTGTTCACAGATGTAGAGGTGGTTCCAGCGCTGCTGCATGGAGACCTCTGGGGAGGAAATGTGGCCGAATGCTCTGATGGTCCCGTCATCTTTGACCCAGCATCGTTTTATGGCCATTCGGAGTACGAGCTGGCTATTGCCGGCATATTTTCTGGTTTTGGGAGCTCGTTTTACAATGCTTACCATGAGAAGATCCCCAAGACCGCTGGGTTTGCAAAGAGACAGCAACTATACCAGCTGTTCCACTATCTGAACCACTGGAATCATTTTGGTGGGGGTTACAGGGGCTCTTCTCTACGGATCATGAAGGATCTAACAAAGTAGATGCTCTTTATTAAAGGATCCTTCTCAAGTCTTCATTTATGAAGGTGGATGATAAACTAACTCGAAGTTAGTCACACACTTTGAATCGAACATCACCTGTCTGATGGAAATGCATTGACAAGATGAAAATAATTTGAACAGATTGAAAAAATCTTATATATATATATATAGATATAGATATATATATATATATTATGTCACCTTATATCATGCGTTTTCCATCCACTGGCCAAAAATAAATAGTTTAAATGCATCATTCCCTTTTTGCAAATTGCACTTTAACTTGACTTCATAAATGGGCCATTGTCTTTTCCCACAAATATTATATGTATGCAAATTGTGTAATATCCAAAGTACACATTTCTAGTAATTGTGCAGTTAATTATCATATTGTATTTTCCGAAAGTTTTGGAATATTTTTCCTCTCCCCAAATTTGTCACTACCGAAACACAATAATAAATAATTTAATGAGAAAGCTTATATTGACCTATTCATATTTTGTTTACATCTACCTTCTAAAAATATTTTTTGCTATTTAAAAAAAAAAAAAAATGTTTTCACAGGTAAATCAATAACAATTACAATTTTAACAATATTACAAGTGTAATTTTATAAGATTTGTTGTATTTTGAATCCAATCTTTCTTTGTTAAAGGCATTACGTTAATCATACTGATTTCAAAGTTAAGGATTCATTAGTTTGATATACATTGAACCAAACACTATAATAACACCTTAGTTGATAATTCAATATGCTTTATTTTAGACAAAACATGCATGTTTCTGTCGTGACGGCACATTTTCGGTAGTGACAGTAATGCTTTGGTAGCAACCACATAACAGAACACTACTAAAACATACTAAGGTACTAATGATTTGCATAACTGTATTAACATTTAGTTTATTTTCCCCAAATAAATGACTGTGTTCCCTTTTGTCACTACAATGATGACATGTTTCGGTCATAACTGTTTCGGTAGTGACAATTTTTTATTCTTTTGAACCTAACTCAATGATGCTAATCAGCACATGGTTAACTAGCACAGTTCTGAACAGTTGTACACACAAAATAACTCAATTTTATCGAATAACACTAAAAAAAACAAGATGTCACAACCGAAACTTCACCACATGTTTCGGTAGTGACTGTTTTGGTAGTGACAATTTTAGATACTTTTATGGAATAACACCCCAAAAGGTTTGCTTAATTGCAGAAAAAAGGTGTTTGGTAGTGACGTTCCTTAAAGGGGTCATATAATGCCATTTTTGTACAAGCTAGTATGATACTTTAGGGTCTAAATTAAAAGTTTGTAATATACTTTAATTAAAAATTCTCATTAGTATTGTAAGAAAACACTTATTTTACCTGGTCAAAAACAGCTCTGTTTTCAGCACGCCGTTTCAGTGCATATGACTTTAAATGATAATGAGCTTTGCTCACCCCGCCTCTCTGTTCTGTGCGTACACCGTTTGTAACACAATAACACAATAACCATAACGCGTTGTTCAGTATAAACGTTGGATTATGAATTATATTGAGAACGTCATACATAGAAAACATGCCGTAATGTACCCTAAGTGTAAACCTTAGACGCATTCATTGTGAAGCGTGCAGCTAGCGATTTGCAAAGATTAACATAAATATTAATATTAAGTTTAATAAAACGTTACACTCACTTCAGTTCTTCTAGAGGTTCAGCAGGAACACGAATAGCTGGTACCGATCCTTTTTTCATGAGCAGCTTCTTAGCAAAACCAGCTTTATACTGACCCTCGTTTATAAAGCAGTCTGGTGTGTGAAATGATTCGCGCAAACATGAAAGCATTGACGTTGCTCGTGGGGAATATTCCCTTCGAAAACAAACTCGGCCACTGCGTCTTCAGCGGTTCGGATTTAGGAACATTAAAATGACTGCTGTGTTCGTTATTAAACCCAAGAACAGAACACCACAATCGCTTAGACGCCATTCTGCTCATAGACAGTGCTCCAGCTATCAACAATGACCGGGACTGCTCGCTCACGAGCGAGGGCGGGTCTGTGTTGAAACGAGGCTGTCAATCAACAATCGTGGGAGGGGCTTCCGAGCGTGTGACGTCACAAAATCGAACGGCTCAATTTGAAGCAGGGGAAAACATATAAGGAGATTAAAACAAAAACACTGGATGGATTTTTATCATTTTATGATGGTTGTGTACAGGCACTGCCAACACACATTTCAGTACAATCAACTTGTAAAAGTGCATGTACCATTATATGACCCCTTTAAAGTTACACACAGATTGTCAGACTTTTGAACACATTTCCCTCAGAATGATGGTACCTACAATGAAATAGAGGCTATGAGAGAGAGGCACACAGGAATATTTCCTGATCAAAAATGTAGGGGTGTGGTTAAAATCAGTCTCAGCCAATGGACTAAAACACACACTGTGTCGGTAGTGACATGAAAATCCGGGACACATTTTTTTACATAAAGTTTCATGATTTAAAAATAAAACTTCACTTTTTAAAATAAATCAAAAAGATATTTTAGATAATGTGTTTTTTTTGGTTGTGGGGCAGCAGTTTGCACCAATTCTGTAGAATGGCCCAAATATGCTTTTGAAGAGAGACTATTTTACAAGACTCCTTGATTTAACATGTGCACAGGAAGTAGCATTCTATAATAACATTTCACTGCACTACATTGTTACTATTAACCTACTGATACCTTAACACATCTGAATAAGGTTATTTAAACTGCTAGTGATCTTGCTGTACTGCTTGCAGGAGTAACAGGATGCTTAATGGATGTATGGACATTCAAATAAAACTTTAAAAATAACTTTGTGTTGTGTTTTTGATTAACATGTAGTTTCGAAACCATGTATGCATTTACAAATATGACCACAGTTTATTAGCTGTAAATATTGCCAATCTGTTCAAAGAGAGAACATAATAACCATAGATTTGAATAACAATAATGATTATGTTGTTGTTATTATTATTTTATAAATTAATGCAAACTCCTGTGACCTCACATTTTGATTTTGAAAATTGGGTGGATGATGAAACTTAATCATTAATTGTTTTTATTTATTTATTTTATGACTGCTGGCTATAGCTAAGTTAGGCCATTAGTTGTTATCTGGGTATGGACTGATGTTTTGGCGGGGGGAAAAAAACTATGAAAGGGAATATTAAGCTTTAAAAAATATGCGAAATAAATTAAAAGGTGCGAATTTTTTCGCATCTAAAATGTAATAATGCGTTTCATTGCAACATTCCCTTCAAGTTGTAAAGACTTTAAACTTGAAGTACAAAAAATAAACGCGTTTTTGATTTATTTTGATCCTCGCGACTTCCCGTTAACATGCAGCCAGCGCGAGCATCATAATAATACGCGGGGTGCATTTATACGCCTTTACTGTCTTTTCTAATTGTGTCATATCTTAGACGATTTGTAAGTCTTTTCGAAGAAGACAACAGCAGTTGCTTTTAATGCATGTTTTGCCGCGTATTAGAGAAACTGAGAAGTGATGAGCTAGAGTTTGAAGAGACTTGAGTGCGTCATTGTGAGGAGCGGTTGCGACTTCATCTTGGATCAGTCAGATCCTCTAGTCTGAGAAACTCTAAACAAACCTTTAGCGAATCTCTAGTCTGGTCAGTCAGAGACAGAACTGATAGATTATGTCGGAGATGATGGAGGGAGTGTGTAATGGAGAGGAGCAGGAGGTGACGGCTCAGGCGTGTGTGCTGTCCGAGTTCAGTGAGGGAGCAGAGGCTCGAGCTCTCATCAGCAGCCTGCCGGACATTCATCACGACACGGTCGGCAGAGAGACCACCATCGAGAAATTTGTGGGTAAGAATGATTTTCATGTAGCTACACGATGTCTTGCTAGCTAGCTAGCGGTCTCTCTCTCTCTCTCTCTCTCTCTCTCTCTCTCTCTCTCTCTCTCTCTCTCTCTCTCTCTCTCTCTCTCTCTCTCTCTCTCTCTCTCTATGTCTTGGTATCTTCTAGCTGTCCATCTGCCTGTTTGTTTACCTGTCTGTCTGTCTCTTTAAGTATCTATCTATCTATCTATCTATCTATCTATCTATCTATCTATCTATCTATCTATCTATCTATCTATCTATCTATCGTAGTCAACATTTGAAGTAGATCAAAACCTTTCATCAAAGTTATACAGTGCGTGCAGAATTATTAGGCTCATTGATTTTCTGATCATATTTTTTTTTACCCAGTCACATTTTACTAATTCCAAACCACATTAATTGTAATAACTACTATTAATTGTGTATGTAATCATTTATAAGTGATATATAATTGTTCATGAAGGCTGGAAATTAAACAAAAAACCTTATATTCAGGTGTGCATAATTATTTCTTTTACAGATAAAATAAGCCACAAAAGAGATTTAACTCAGACTGAAAAGTCACACATTATTAAATGCCCATGAGAAGGATGCAATACAAAAAAAAAAATGTATTTAAGGCATGATCATTGGACAGTGAAATGCTCATTGGGTCAGCAGGGTCAGACAAAAACCGGTGGTAAAGGTGAAAAATTAGGTTAAGAATCCTAAAAAACGACCCCCTCTTAATAAGAATCACAAGCTGAAGTGTAGTAAAGTACATGAATTTATAGGTTTTATAGACCGACAGATTGAGAGTGACTCTTGTCTTGAAGGACCAGCACCACATCCTCTTGTACCATTGTTTGAAGAATTCATCTTCCAGAATCTGGCAGTAAGTTTTGTGAGTTCATTTTTAGTCCGTCTCCTACCCTGAAGACTAAAAATGAACTCCCAAAACTTGAAATCTGTAAAAGAAAACGTGTCTAATAATTATGCGCACCTGAATCTAAGGTGTTTTTAATTTCCAGCCCTCCTGAACAATTATATATCACTTATAAATGATTAAATACAAAATTATAGTAGTTATTTAGATTTAATGTGGTTTGGAATTGGTAAAATATGCCTGAAAAAAAATATGATCAGAAAATGAACGTGCCTAATAATTCTGCACACACTGTAGGCTATATGAATTTTTTAACAATACCGTTCTTGTCTTAGAACAACATCGATTAACTTTTTTTGATCTAATTCAAATGTTGACTATTCTATCTATCTATCTATCTATCTA